TCGAATCAACCTCCAGCTTCTCGAATCTTCAATCGAAGATTCGAGCAGAACCTAAACCTACCCGAACCAGTCCCAAACTCATACCGGACATCTTCCTGACCTCCCTCGTCACCAAACCACCATTTGTTTGGTTCGAATCAGACTAGAACCGTTCGAACCCCAAATCGAACCCCCAAGAACCCTAGAAAACCAAAGGTTGAAATCTGTCCAAATTAAAGGAAGTTGGGTGGACCTTAGTCGAAGTGTTCTCAGTTGAGAACACTCGATTAAGGTCCGTTCGACCTCAATTAAAGGTCTGAGTCAGAGTCCAAGTCAGGGTCGTCCAGTTTCTGAGTTCGGAGGTATTTCTTCTGTTTCCCTATTTGTTTTTCATGTTTCGTTGTTTGTTTGTTAAGATGAGTTCAAATTCGTCTTTTATCGATTACTCTTTTCTTTCTCCGGTCAGACCTTTTATTTGGTCCAATCTTATCATTGCTTCTGTTTGTTGTCGATTGTTATATGTTATAATTTGTGTAATCGATTGAATAAGTGTCGTCGATTAGTCTGGTATGCTTTAATGTTAGATTAGCATGATAATAGTTTAATTTTGGTTCATTCCAGTAGGTTTACCCTCCTGTTTATTTTCTGTTCTAATTTTGTGTTGAAATAAGCCTGTTGGTATCATTTGTTTCAAATTGTTCCAATTTCCCTTTCTCATTGTTATTCACCATGTTTTTCATATAAATCAGTTTGTTTTCATTTAGTATATTGACAGTGTTCATTTGTTCTTGTTTAGGTTTAATCTAGAAGTGTGTTAGTTTAATCACTGAATCTTTATTTTAATGATATTTGGTCTGAATTGAGTTTCAAGCTTAAATTGTGATTTGAGTTTGATGAATCTTAATGTTGTTCTGATATGAATCTGATCTTGAATGTTGATATGAATCTGACCATGATGAACTGATTCCTAAGTGTTGTCAATTGGGAGTTAGTCTCATATGATTTGATTAGTCAATTGTTAGGATTTCTCACTTAAGATTGGTTATAGCTGCTATAGTTTGGTTAATTGATTAGGAGGATTGGATATAGCCGATGGGGTAGAATGGTAATTTCAATAATTTCAAGGACATTAGGAGGGTATTTTGGGATTGAAAGGTTTGAAATTGGTTTAAGTTGAATGTTCTGACATTAGGGTACTAAAGTACTATTAAACTAATGAATTGTTTAAATGCTAATGGGGAACAAAACATAATGGTGGGGGAAAGGTTGAAAGGAAATAGATTAAAAAATAGGTGCCCATACCTATTTGAATTTAAATAAAGGGAAGGACAAGGGATAATGGAAAAAACATACTCTAGTGGGGAACAAGTGAATTAAAAGGAGAACAAAACATGTAGTAGTGGGGAGAAATACTTTCCTAATTAGTTAAGTGCTCCTTAGAGCTGGAAAGGGGCTGAGGTTTGGTTATAAATAGGGTCATTCAAAACAGAAAAGAGGTTGGTTTTTTGGAGAAGAAAAATCAGTTCTCTTTCTGTTTTTTTAGAGAGTCTAGGCTGGATTTTGACAACAGAAATTCAGAGTTTAAGAGTGAAATACAAGATGAGTTTTTACCCTAAAGAGTTCAATAGGTTGAGAGCTAAATACTGAAAAATGAGGTCTTCTTTACTACTGAAAATCATAATCAGTTTGTTACTGTATAATTGAGGTTCTGAGTGTCTTTATTTGAAAATCTGAAGAACAGAAATCAGAAAATATACTCTCCTGTCTCATTTCTGAATACATTCTGTTCCTGTCTGTGAATTGCTTGGTATTTTCTGGTTTCACTCCTGGTTTTTGGACTGCTTGTGCTGGGTGTTATTTCTGGTGGTTGTTGCTCTGTTCTTTGCTGTGGTGTTGCTGTATTGTATACTACTACTGCTGCTGACCTGCCTTTCATCTTCTTCTTCTGCTATTCTCGATTCCAGGTACACTACTTTGAATCATCTTGGTGTATGCTCATTGAAGCTGAAATGAAATGGCCAGAGGATTTATTGTTCAAACTATAGAATGCTTGTATTCTATTTGATATTAGTTATGTGTTTCCTGTTACATGAATAATAGACGACTGTATAATTAGGACTATTTATAATTTGTTTGGGCTGTTTGATTCCGGGACTGTTTGGACTTTGGAATGTGATTATGTAATAGTCATATGGGTTTAGTTTTATTTTGGTAGTATAATTGTTGAAATTAGAAGCAAGCTGCAAGCTGAAACAGGAAAGTGTTTTTTTGGAATTCATGAATTTCATTTGTACTAATAAAATTGAGCTGAAATCAGTAAGTATGGGTTTAGATGTGGTTATTGATTAAGAGTGCATTCGTTATTCATATTTTGTTAAGAATCAAACTTGTATCTATGGATTCTTATAAAATTCTCTTTTATATATTTTATAATGCGTATATCTATGTAAGTTTTAGACAATGTTGTCATTGGTGAGTGTTGTAGTTTAGACAAGTAATATATTTTAGTTGTAATAATAATGTTATGGTACATGTTTTCAATCTGATAGTAATAG